GGGACGGGGCAGGCCAGGGAAGCCCTTGAGAGCCTACTGGCCTGTCAGCCTGGAGTGTGACTGAGTCCCCAGCCGCGGACGTATTTTTTAGCGCCCCCCCAGACTCCACATCATCCCGATCCTGAGGGCACCCCCTAGCTGGCTTCCGAAGGGAAAAGAACACAGGCTGTCCCGCAGCAGCACTGAGTGCGGCTCAGTGCGTCCAGCACACCCACCCCACCCCGGCACCTGGAGGAAGGAGGAAGAGAGGGCTGGAAAGGCCACAAAGCGAAAAAAGGCTGAGCACGAAAAGCTCTCCACGTGCACGGCGGGCTCGGCCTCCCGCCGCCTCCTGCAGGCTCTCCCCATCTTTTTATCCACACAGATTTGCCCTTTCACCCCTTAGCTTGTCACCTGGTACAGACAGCAGGACTTCGGCCAATCGTTTTTGCATTGTGGTTTTATCCTCCCTCTCCCTGTTCCCCTACACTCCCACTAAGAACCCCTTTTTTCTCCAGAATGTGCCCCCAGTTCCCAGGATTCCACTTGGGAAAGCCCGGCAGACGCTGAGTGCTGGGGACTGTGCAGGCAAAGAAAGTTCTAGATAAGGGCCTGTCTGCAGGGAACCTCCCTTCTGGACCCAGGGAAAGCCTGCCAGCAGTTCAAAAGCAATTCTGTTTACCTCGCTGGAAAACCCTTCCCCCAGCCCATTGCTGTCTCCACTTTGCCTTCTGTTTCTGTGGACTCCGTGCCCTCCCCTCCACCCTCTGCTGTTTTCTCTCCGGTGGATTTTCATTCGAAGTTATCCAGGAAAGCAGAGCTCTTGGCTTCCTTCCTGATCCCTCTGTCCCACCCCACGCCCCAGTCTCATGGCTGGTCTTCAGGCAGCTGTGGCCATGCATGCTCCTGTCCAGAGCAGGAGCCTTTATGGGCCTCCCCAAGGGGCAAGGTTTTCTTGTGGGTGGCTTGTTACAGGAGGAAGCTGGGTGGGAGGAGCTGCAGACCACTGTGACCCCCCCATGCACACTCCTGGGGAGCCTGAGAATAAGGAATTCCACGAAAAGACTGATAATAGATAAAGATAACTCCAGAAGGAAATCTCCTATGAAGACCTCCCAGGACATCTGAGCAGCCCCTCGGAGGATACCAGCCAGTGTCATAAATTCCTAGAACGCCTGCGCTGACCGGGGTCTTAGAGATAAGCCAGTGCAGCCCCAGCGTCTTACGGCTGAGCAAACTGAGGCCTGGAGAGGGATGTGGCCTTGCGGGGCCAGTGGCAGAATTAGCTGGTTGGGGTCTCTTAGCATTCCTGTCAGGTGAGGGCTTTGCTGTTCACCTGGCTGGCCCTGGGACACATTGGACACAAAATCTGCTTTTAAAAACCTGGTTCCTTCCCAGCAGGACCCAGGCCCTTCTGACGTGGGAACATTCCAGGCTGGGTGAGGAGGGGACAGGCATGAGACAGGTCACTTGGTATTCTCCGAGGACAGGCAAACCCGCCACCACGTAGGCTGCCCACCTAGGGGAGAAGGGGCGATTTGCCGCAGAGGTGCCAGCACTGTCTGGGTCTTTTGCTGGGAGTGTGGTGTTCTTGGTGGGGGGAGTTGGGGCAGCTGGGTTGGGAGGCCCCTTCGTGGCCCCTGTGCACAGATCTCCCTCGGGACCTCCAGCTCGGGACTGGGGCTCCCTTCGTGGCCCTCACCGCAGCCACCAGGATCCAGTTAGGGGAGTGTGGGGCAGAGAGAACCAACCGCCATGCACACAGCCTGAGGGCAGTGGAAAGACGCTGGTGTGGGGCAGGCCCAGCCGGCTTCGCCCGCCCCTTCCCTGCCACGCTCTCTCCCCCATATGGTTCTCATAAGGTCTGGGCTCAGAGACAGCAGCCAGAGGAAGTGGCTGTGTACAGAGAGCTTTTGTGAGAGAGGGAAGGGGGAGGGGAAGGAGCCAAGAGAAGGAAGGGAGGAAAGAGGGAAGAGGCCGAGACGCAGCCCGGAGACCCCAGCACGCTCCCTGAGCCTCGCGTGGTGCAGGGTCCTGCCTGCCTGAAGCGAGGCACCCAGAGGAAACCCACGTCCCTTCCTGACTCTGCTGCCCTACCTGCCAGAGAGGCCAGAGGAAGCCAGCTCGGGTCCCAGGGACCCCCGCAGTCCCCTCTCTGGGGCTCGTAGGGCTCCATCCTCTTGCGCAGGATGTCAAGGCCAACGGTTCCATCTCGGGAGTGCCCTGGGCAGTGCCCTTCGGAGCCCTCTGGGCTTCACTGGTGGAGCCCTTATCGTGCCATTGTCCTCAGCCCCAAAGACGGCACAGAGCACAGACAATTCAACCCCCAATGGATCCAGGACCCGGAAAGGGCCATTTGGCCTGAATTACTCAGCACGGGTGCGTGAGTCCAGCCACTCCTGAACCCCAACCCCAAGGACGTCCCTTCCTGCTGCTACTGTGCGTGGGGAGGGGCTGTGGCAACCCCTTGTCCTGGGGCTGAGACTGAAAATTTTCTCCAAGGGCACAGGCGAACCAGTGTAATTTGAATCTAACCAGAAATTGAACCTTAAATTTGGGGTCGTGTTTTTAAAGAGAGAGAGCGTTTCTAAGTTTATCTCCATGGGACTCCTTGGATAAGAACCCTTTCCTGAGAGAGAAGGTTCCAGCCACCTCTGAGTTGGTCTCTGTCCTTCCACTCCATGCGGGACTGGCTGCTGTCCTCACCCAAGCCCTCACCGAGAGGGGAGGCAGGTTCCCGAGCGCCACACAGCCGGGACCAGGCCCGCTGGCTCCCCCGTCACCCCCAGCCTCCCTGGGAGCAGCCGGAGAGCAGGGAAGGGAGAGGAAGGAAGTGGCCCTGGGCCGAGGAGCCAGAAGGAAAGTCCAGCGGCCACTAGGAAGGGCTGCTCCGAGGGGCTGTTTATTTTCATTCCCCCAGCCCAGCCGCTCTGTTCTATTTAGAGCTCAGACACCGACAGGACGAAGCTGCCTCCTCCACTTCCTCCCTGCTCTGGGGGGCCCCATCCCTCCAAACTCCAGAACGTTCCTTTGCTTTTAGGAATGGGCTATTGGGGGGCCAGGGAGGGGGAGCAGAGAAACTGTGGAGTGTAGCTCCCAGCAGCCTCCCAGGACCCGACTCTTGCCTCGATTTTCCCCTGGGAGCCAGGGAGGGGTGGGCGGGGGG